ATGCATGTTTATTTCATCTACTCTACATGTACCTGGTTCTAATAAAGCAGTTGCAATTTTCGGTAACGAACTGACATCAATTGATTGTTTATTACGTGACATTCTAAAAATAAATAATAAATAATTAGAAATTAATAATAATAATAGATTATAATAAAGTACTTGAACTCCTCAACTTGTGTATGGAAAGTCTAAAGAAAAAGAAAAAATAAAATAAACAAAATCAAATAAATAAATAACAATACTAACAGAAAGGTGTCTTTCTGATGCAGATCTCATCACATCTACAGTAAAAACCCGAGCAGTGCTATCACTATAAAATTAAATAAACTACTAATAACCATCAATAATAGTTAATTAACTTAACTATTAATAAGTTAATTAACTAACTTAACTATTAACAGGTTAATTAACTAGCAATACCTTGAACCAGACACTATGTCTCCATTGCCACATGCAGTGACACACCAAACAGAGATACAAGGTAGAGAAATAACTTGAATACATTTATCATCTACATGTACATGTAATGGGGAGAGAAGAAAGACACATACATGTAGTGTAATCATGGAAGAAAAATGAAGACATTAAGAAAGGAGAAAGAGAGAGGGTGTTAGAGAGAGAAAGGGAGGGGGTGTCAACGCTAAGAAGAGGAATACATGTAGATATACATGTACAGTGAAACCTGCTATTGTGGACACTCTAAAATAAGGACACCTCTATAATAAGGACAGGTAGTATCAGTCCTAATACAATAGTAATGTGTATTAATGAACCTCTGAAATAAGGACACCTCTATAATAAGGACAGTTTTATTTGGTCCCAAGGTGTCCGGAATAGACAGGTTTGACTGTACATGTATACATGAGGATTTAGGTTTATAAACTTTGAATGTCTACCTCTCCAAATTCTAATGGTTCCATCTTCACCACAAGAAGCAAAGCCAGTCGGCAATAACGTAATACTAAATAAAGCAAAATAAAATAAATAAATAAATAAATAAAATTTTTGTCGTCTTTTCTCTCCTTCTACCTATATATAAAAGCTTCATGACCGAATAATTCCTTCAGACACAACCCAGTGTGAATATTCCATAAACGAATAGAACTACAGAATTATAAAATGAGCACTAAATTTTAAAAATATAACCAAAAAAAAAACTTCAAAACTTTACAATATGGGGGGGGGCAGGGGGGCAGCTGGATGCAGCTGTCAAAATGTTACGTTTACATAGTCAAAGCCACAGTGGAGAGACCCACAATAGCTTGGTACAATTTTGGAGTATAAAAGGAGAGTAAGTTCTCGAAGACTGCACTACAACAAATCCAGTGATTCCCAATAGTCTAGGGTGTAATTATTGAGAAAAAATTTTTGAAAGGGATTAAAAATCCCTGGATACTACAGTACTTCAAACAAACATTTAATACACATGTTATACCTGAAATTTTCGTTGTTTAATTTTTTTTTGAAATTGATTTTTGTGGCTTAAAAAATTTTTAATAGAATTAGTTAGTGGATTTTAGCTTGCACAAAAATTTATATCACACAAATAAACCAGCTATAAGGTACAAGTATACGGTATTTAAAAATACATGCAACTGTATTATGAATTACATGTACATGTAGGTCAATGTACATGTACATGTTTTTATGTACCAAAAAAAAACTTTGAAATAAAATTTGTTTTAGCCAGCACAAAAAAGTGATTCCACACAAAATAAACCAGGTATAAAGGTATAATTAAAAATACATGCAGAAGAAGATCACATGGTAAATAATTAGGTCAATGTACGTGTATTTATGTACCAATCATTGGAGGCGGAGAGGAACTGGTCACATGACAGTACCTTTACATCTCTCACTACATCAGAGTGACCTCTGTACTCACAGACACAGGAGCAGGAGGGGGAGGAGGAGGTCGGAGTGGCAGAGGAGGAGGAGGAGTCTATGGACCATAAACGAATCAACTTATCAGCTCCACCTGTTAAAAATAAATAATATTATTTATTATTGTTGTTGTTATTATCATCATTATTAATATTAATACTATTATTATTATTATTATTATTATTATTATTATTATTAATTATTATTATTTATTATCGAACCTGATAGGAACCTGTTAGTACAATCAAAGTTGTACAGTCCTGAGAGACACCAAACAGCTGGTTCATGTCCTTTCACTGACGCTATACAATCATTATTAGAACCAGTATTCCATATACGGACAGTACTATAATAATTAATAACTACCTTTAATAACTACTATCTTTAATAAATAGTTTTAATTATGGTGGACAAAATTAAGTATTTATAATTTCAATTAATGTACCTGTCCCAAGATGCTGAAATTAGAAAAGAATTTTGATAAATCAATGAAGAAATTAACCCCTTGTGACCTGAGTATTTTAAAATTGGTTCTAAAAAAGACATAATTTTTAATAATAATAATAATTAAATTCTTACCTTGTTGAAGAGGATCTTGTATCGAGTGCATTAATATAGAACAATCTTGACTACCTGTTACCAGTAATACTACAAAAAATTAAATAATAATGATATTATTATTATTATTATTATTATTATCATTACATGTACATTGCTAATTTTTGACATAAATAATATCGATCCTTTTCCTTTATTCTCTTCTCTTCCTCACCTTCATCTTCATCAACAAAAGAGACCAGAGAAGAGACATAGCCTGTATGGTGTGTCAGTGTTTTATGAAGAACAAAATCTTTATTATCGTCTCTCGTCCAAACCATGGCCGTCTTGTCCCTGGAGGCCGTCACAATATAGTCTGTCTCATTAAAGGAGAAGGTACAAACTGCACGGACGTCTCCACTATGTCCTAGCAGTTCAGTGGAGAGCCTGTAGTGTGCTTCAGTGTCGGACGCCATTTTGAAGGTTAAATTAGTATTAGACACGCCTACTCAAATGTGCCCCCACGTTTTTAAAGTATACGGAGAAGTGCGGTTATTGTTTATTTGACCCCGCCCACTAAAATTTGGCGGGTTTTTAAAATGGCAGGTAGGATTCCATTAGGGCTCAGTAATGCTGATAATAGGCCTAAGAGTGGCTTTGGAAAGAAGGCGAGGAGCGTCATACCTCCTACAATGGACAGGGCGAGTCTGGTTGAGTCTCTGAGGGCAGTAAACAGCTTATCCTGTCCATCAACACAGACCAGAATAACTGAGGAAGACATTTTGAAACCTTCTGTAAGAAAGGAGGCATTTTAAAGCACACTGTATCTTTTTTCAGGCTGATAGAGTACAACTCATTTATTTGATGTTGCTCAATGTCGTCTTTGGAGCCGCACCCAGTACGTTCTCTCAGGTATCATTATCGTACATTAGGGCGTGGTTTATTTGTGGGCGTGGTTTTTACAGGTCCCATTTCAAGGTATCCCGACAGATTATCCAGAACTATATGAAGAGCATCATTTTAGAGTCAATTTTCTTCGATCATTGTAAGAGGATTACAGTACATGTACATGTACATGGTTGAAATTGCTCTAACAAAACACCCTGTACTATATA